TTGGTACTTGCCTTTAGTTCTTTGCTGAATCTAAATATAGGAACCAATCATATTAAAGAATTACTAAGCGCTGATTGATTAGTTTTATCTGCTGAACGTAATCATTTATACATGCTGTCAACTGTTAACTTATGCCGCAAACTATATAAGAAATTGACCAATCACAGTCTGATGTAAAGAGAATGAAGTTGATTGTTCTCTTCACATTCGAATCCCTTATAAAAATTTAATACTAATATTGGCTAATTAATCACTTAGTTTCAATATTAAAAGTACTGTTAGCAATATTTTTAATACTCAAAATAAGTTATATTAATTGGCCAGTACTAGTATTAAATTTCTATAAGGACTGTGAATGTGTTCTTATAGCTTATGGCGTAAGTTAATTAATAGTTATGGCATATATAAATGATGTTTAAGGCAAGTAATGAAGATTTATGGTCTTTTTAAAATTTCTACAGTGCTCTATAATCCTTATTGATTATCCAAGAAAGTGATATAATTTTCATGGAAACGTTAAAATAAGAGAACCTTTCTAAATTCGACATTAGTACAGTGTTGATGTCATACTTGAATAGTCTTGCGCGAAAAAGTGACTTGCCTGACAACATACTACACATACAAATAGTTGGTTATATTTATCTGTCAAATTATCTGTCAAATTATCTGTACTAAAGTAATAGAAATAGTATATAGACTTGATGTGAAAATTAGTCGTCTACTAATTTGATATTTAAATATATATAATTATTTGGATATAATGCAGTGTCAGTGCGAAAATTTCAATACTCCATGTATACTTGTACATGGTGATGTTGGAAATTTTTACGATGCGATAATTATTGAAAAAACAGTGAGTTGTAAAAATGCAGCATCCGTTGGATATCAAAGTTTATTAGATGGTGCAAATTCTGTACAAGCTGTAGAAATTGCTTTATGGTGGTTAGAATGCGATGAATTCTTTAATTGTGGTTATGGATCGGTTTTAAATAATATAGGTATAATAATAATAATAATATAGAAATAGTAATTGCGTTAAAATATGTATAATAAAAAATTATTGGCATATCATGTTGCATAAAATAGGAGAGGTACAAATGGACGCAAGCATAGTAGATGGTTTCAAATCAGAATGTGGATCTGTAGCTGCAATATCAGACATAGAACATCCAATATCTCTTGCCAGATATGTTTTGGATAATTTTCCCAACTCTATCGTAGTAGGGGAAGGTGCAAGAAAATTAGCAAGATATGCAAAATTAAACTGGCTATCAAAAGGAAATATGACCGCACCTATGGCACATTTAGCTTACGATAAATCGCGAGAAATAGGCAGTTCTGATATTAATTTGGATATTGAAGATCGCCAATTATTAGACGTATTAGAAAGTAAATTGTAGATACAATATATTTCAGAAAATATTATTTTTATATTTCTTGTACTCTTATAAGCAAAATATTGCTGATACACGTATGATTTTGATACAATTTTCATCTATATAGATAGTGGGAGCACCGTTGGTTGTATAGCTTATGACGGATATGCTATTGCTGCAGGTGTTACAAGTGGTGGTTTAAACAAAAAATTAATGGGTAGCGTAGGCGACTCCTCTGTGTTAGGTTGCAGCACATATGCTAATCGAAATGTAGGATGTTCTCTAACAGGTCATGGAGAATCTATTATGAAACATGGTTTATCAAGAATTATTGCGAGCGATATTGAAGAAGGATGCTCCCTACGAAAAGCTTTAAAGAAAAATCTAAATTATATGTCAACTAAATATAATCAAACTTTTGGGGGTGTTGTATTTGAGAAATCTGGGGAATGGGACATATATTTTACCTCACATAAAATGCCATACGCTGTAATTATGAATGACTGCGTGACTTTCGGCGCAGCTTTAGGTGAAAAAAACGTAGAAAAATATTCTGAATGTCGGAAACGTCTTCCATGCAATTGCAGCTCTCCTTTTGTAAATAATATTACATTGCAATGTCTCGATTTGCTTGTATAATTTTTTATATTATTATTATGTATACTTTATCATTTCTTTCTTATTGATATAACATATCTCTTCTTTTTTTTTTTCAGTGCAATTAACGACGAAGGTATCTGTGATACAAAACTATTCAGTTTTCGGGAGTGGCAGAAATATATCGAATGTAGAAGAACAATCTTAATTAATGCGCACTGCCCTACCAAGTTAAAATACAATCCAAACATACCAGATGTTAATAGTTTATATATTAAATTTTTGAATTCTACTGATTCTAAAATAGACAGAGAGGAACCTGAGATAACTATACGTAAGCATTTGATACCAAATGAACTTGTTTACGCAATGAAACAGTGCATTACCGATGCAAGTTATATTGCTCCGCCATTGAATGAGGTAAACGATTTTTCTCCAACATTAACGCCAAATCATTCGTATCTTCAACAATTATTGGAGCATCCACTATACGATCTTCCGAGTATGCTCCGAAATGACTTTTTGTCTACAAAAATTAGATACTTGAGAAAATCAAAATGGTAAGTAATATTGAGATTTATAACTTACCGGTCGTAAAATATTATATGAGATGAGTAATCGATTGTCTTTTCTTATTATTTTAGTATCAACAAATTGATTTCGCATTATGATATTCAAATAGATCCCATTGATTCAAATTTACACTTTATTGAAAAAACGGTACCAGTTTTCGAGCAAACAAAAATCGCCAGTATAAAAGATTTGAAAGACGAAATTACGATAGAAGACTTTATGGAAGATGATAAGAATATCGAGAGAAAAGAAAATTTTATTGATTATCTATTTAAGGAGATACCTTGTCAATTTAAAATTGATGTAAAAAAGAAACAATATTATGACGATACAATCATACATATGAAAGCACCTCCATTAGCATCCGCATTAACCAATGAATTTATATTTAATGAGATTCTTCCAGATGGTAAATTGTCAATCCCAGGTAGATATCTAAATGATGATGAAAGTGAGGATGATGATGTATGTCTACAAAATATTGTTCCTCAACAAATGGCATTGTCATTATCCAAGTTTTGTAAAGCATACAATACAAATCTCTCAAGTACAGAAAGAAAAGCTATATTGACAAATTTAAGCCGACCGAAGAAAGAAAAGCGCAAACTTGTGCGAAATTCGTTTGGTAAATTTGTTAAACAAACCGATCTTGTTAAACAAACTTCTCTCAATATGGAAAGAAAGAATCCAAATAAAGATGATAATTATATGGAGCAAACTGAAATTGTTTCAACAGACATTTCTGGAATTGAAAATATGTTACCAGAGATATCCGATATATTAAACTTGAGTGCCAACGCATCTATTTTTGATAATTTTATCAAACTTGAAAATGAATATGGCATGAATGATCAATCCGAGAAAGAGACTTGTAATAAAATCAAACTTCAATCGATTATCGATGAATCTGTTACGGATAAAAGACTGAATAGTAATATTCTTAAATTGTTTAAACCGTTTAAAGATTATTGGATGTATCATTGTAATTTTAGCCGTGTGAAGTCAAAAAATTTTGAAATACTTGAGAAAATGCTGCCAAGGAGTTTTCGGTGGTTACTGAATGAATGCGCGAGCAACATTGAAATGTCGACGGAAGACCTCTATGAGGAAGTGTGTCTCATCGAAGCTTATTATGCGTATGTCTCAGAGGAATCCAAGATTTATTCGTGTCCAACAAGTAAAAGTGAAAATTGCAACAATCAAGCATATATCAAGGCAGTTTTGAAGAAATGGTAAAGCTAAATAATGAAAAACATTGTTATATTGTACGTCAAATATTTAATTGTATACGATTTGGAACTTATGGTATCACATTTATGTTGATATCAAATTTTTCACTCGTAGTGCTGATTCTTTCGTACAGATTCTGATATATAATATATAACATTAAATTTATGTTATATGTAAAACGTGTTGTAAATAAAAAAAGCGATTTATTTTATTTCCTCTTAATTCAATAAATGAGATCTCTTTTAATTAATTCTGGAATTTTTTATGATTACTATATTTTTAATTTAGACCTACAAATTTTAATAGAAAATATTATTAGATATGTTTACTTGTGTCATTCTGAATGTACCAAAATATTAATTGTAATTGTATATATATTAATATTTTTTCTCTCTTTCTCCCCTACGTTTTCTTTCTTCCTGTCACTGTTTCTTTTAATAAATTTTGTAGAAAGATATGCAAAAAAATCATTAATGTATATTTTTAATAAGAAAAAACTTTATTAATAAAGTGTAAGTATATAACTCGTGTGTATGCGCGTATATAACTATCTTTATAAAAAGTATATGAAAGAATCCATAGTTTCAAAGTTAAAAATTCTACATCATAATTCCCATAATAAAATAATTTATATATATATATAAATTTAAAAATATATCACTATAGACTTAATTTTAATTAGTATTACAATGTAATACTTATAAAAATATTGATTCATTTTTTTATATGACGATTCTTCATGAAATACACAATAGATATACATATTACACAATAAAAGATATAAAGTTGAATATATTTCAACTTCAATTTGAAATAAATTTCAGATTGTACATTCATGCGATTTCTGGTTTAAAAAAAAAAAAAATAAAATTATATTTCTTGAATTTATATAACAAAATTGTAAAAAAAATTGCTCCTAAATAAATGTACCCTCCATCATTTTTATTTTTATGTATTTGATACGCGCTATAATATAGAAAAAAAATATAATATAATATAGACTCGCGCAGTTGTCGGACACAACTGTTGCACTTGATTCCAAGGATTTCCTCGGGTTTTACTTGGAGTGTCGCACTCGACACTCGCATCATGGCATCGTGTAATCGTGTCTCGTTTCATCGCGCCAATTCGTGGGGGCGATGCGATGCGACTCAAGGCGACTGGCGAGGTGGCGAGAGTGGCGAGGGCGAGATGCGGCGAGACGACGCGATCGGCTCGGTTCGGTTCGGCGTGCTCGAGCTCGTAAGCTCGAGCAAGCTCGAACGGCGGCGGCAGTGGTGCGAGCAGCGAGGTGCGCCGTAGTGCGAGTACTCGCTTGAGTCTTCAGTAGTAAACACCAATCGGTGTAGGACAGAACGGTGTAGAACGGTGTTGGATGATATTGCCGCGTTACCACGGTGTTTGTTGGCGGCCCGGCGTGTTGCGCACGAAAAGGAGCGCGGGTGCGCGTGCTGCACAGTGTTGCGCGCATCGTTACCTAAAAAAAAAAAGAAAAACATCTGTGATCGCATCGAGGCCGCGCGGTCAAAAGATCGGAGGGGATTTGTACTTCGGAGGCGGACCTTTGCATCGCGGCGACGGAGTCATCGACACCGCGTGTTATTGGACGTAGCTTCCAACGCGGAATCTTCGTCCTGACGCGTGCGTTCCGAGGGAGAAGGTATACCTGTACGTACGAACACGTACGACGACGTAGCGGACGTGGTTGGACGTAGTCTACTGGTCGCGATCACACTCGTGATCCGCCACCGCCACCGTCAGTCAGTAGGATCCGTTATCCTTACCGGGTGAGTTCCCTACTTCCCTCAATGAATTCTCTACTCTCACAATCAGAATTATTGCCGCGGGTTCGTGCGGGTTAGCGGCGACGGTGACAGCGACCCAGCCGCGTTTAACCCAGAAACCTACGCGGCTGGGAAGACCACAGTCACAGAGGCATCCTTCCTCTTTTATATAGTCACCCGAGGCGGTTCTTTTACGTTGTTTTTTGTTACGAAGGTACGCAATGTTTTTCCCGCCAATCGTACTACTGCACTAACGATAATTATACAAATTGTAACTTATAGCGAATTCGATTGGACGCACTCAGTGCACACTAATTTAATTTAAGTATAAAAATGAAATGCAAATATTTTTTATATGAATTATGAAATACATATTTTACCTAATAGTACAATAAAATGTATTAAGTATTTCACGATTTAATCAATCTCTATGTTTATTTATAAACATATCTTTACGTTATTTCGTGTACAACGGCTTTAATGTGCACCAGTGCACACTAATTCTTCCAATCGAATTCGCCATTAATTTTCACTCGCTTTTTACGGGATATGAATTACCACGTGTCCCCCCTTCTCCTTCGTCTAACGTTTTAAATGTATTTTTTTTTACATTAAATGAAATATATACGTTTTCCTTTTTTTGTAAATCGACAAATGTATGTAATCTTCCAAAAACATTGGTTAGAGAGGAAGAAGGGGGGGAGAGAGAAAGAGAGAGAGGCGAATAGTGATTATATATATAATTTTAATCATTCTCAAAAAATTAACACGTTTCGATTAGTGTTAATTGCGAAAATAGCACAATCAAATATTAATCGAATGTCGAAAATACCGTCGTACCGGTACGCACGTGCGTTTGTGAAGAATGGCGCGAATGAACATTTACCTGAATCAGAGCTGTTGCACGGCATTGTGCACCTGCCACATTCGAGTTCGAAACACCGACAGAGTTCCCTGATAAAAAAGATTAACAAAAAACGATAGAAAAATCCTATCGTTTTGAATATGGAATCTGGTTCGTAAATTCACTAATTTGAATCAGATCTTCTACTTGTAAAAATACAAATTTTATAACATCCGACAAAATACAATAGGATTCACATCCGATCAATCGTGATGCTCTCGAGGTCAATGATAGAAAATGATATAAACTTATAGAAAACGATACAAATTGATAGAAATCCTATCGTTTTCAATCGTTCTCTATCAACTTTTTTTACCAGGGTTAATTTACCATTAGTCAATTTGTATATATATATATATATATTTCTCGAACAACCACTGAAGTTAACGAGGCGCACGAATGCGTTCATAGTCTCGATCTCTCGATAAATTAAAAAATTAATTCGTCTTTTTTTTTCTTTTTTAGGAAATTTTTATATGGGGGAATATTGTGTAGTACCGACCGCTATAAGTTTTTGTAGAATAACTTGAGCTAGACATAATGAAAATTAAAAAGAAAGTTATTTATAATTCAATTATAATTCGTATTTAATAAGAGGAAATTATTTTACCTAAAAATATGGGTACAAAAATTGATAATTAGGAAAAGGTTATAATTTGAAATTGGGCAAAATTGTCGAGCAAAATTATATTAACGGTCAGCTATAAAGTCAGAAGGTTTTTAGGTGAAAATGACTAATAATATAACGAAAAGTCATTTAAATTTTTATAGAAAAATCTTATATTGTAAATTATTAAGATTTACATGTATCACACATGAAATATTTAATATTTCCTTGTAAATTGTAATGTTAAAAAAATCGTATACATTCATACATTATACGTACGTAACTATGTACATAAGTGAAAACACGATATATTTTCGAGGAACAAAATGCTCGAGGAAGAGAATAATTTGAGAACTAGACGACTGATATCGTTCATTCTAATCTGAAAGTCGAAAGAGATGTATTGTGAGATACGAAAAGGAAATGAAAAGGAGAACTTTTAAAAAAATTGCAAATACCCTATTGCAATAAATGAAATCAGATATTTCGCATAGTACATACACACACGCAGCTCTGCATAATATACGCGTCGTTTACTGCAACATTTGTCGCATTTTAACCACGGACCCCGTTATCGAAACGGTAGATGATCGTCGAGGGTCAGTGGGTCGTCATCAACACTTCGTGATGCTTAGTAAATAAACCCTTCCGGTTACGCTCTCATCGTTTGCTTGCCAAAGATATTTTTATGATAGAAACGGTATCGTGTGATAATACGATCGTCAAAACACCAGATTAACTATGACTTAACCATACAGGCAGATTTGCATATTTTACATTTGATTATTATTGATCTAGCAGTGGAAGTTGATAAAAGAAAATGATTATTTCTGGACACAGCAAGATTCATTGAAACAAACAAGTATAATGATATCGGCTCTTTGAACTACGTCAAAAATAATAAACAATAAGGAGCATACATATACAGACTAACCGCAGGATGCAAAATATCTTTTATCGTTTAAAATACAATATTATAATACAATATTACAATATTACTAAAATTCAGGGTTGGCAAGTAACGCGTTACTTGTAACACCGTTACTTTGTTGATCGTTATCTTGTTATAACAACGATTTGATAATGACATTGTGAATTTTTTATGATGGTAATGCTAACATCAGAGTTAGAAAGATCAATCGTTACTTGTAATGTATTGAAAAAGTCATTCATTACTGAAAAAAAAACTCCTAATTTGTAACGCGTTACTTTTTAGTAACAAGTAACGTTACGCGTTACTTGTTATATACTTATAACTTTTTCAATATAACGCGTAATAGTGACAAATTACTTTTCAAAGTGACTTTTCTAACCTTAGTACAACCTTAGCGTTTAGTTAGTTAGCGTTACCGTCATAAAAAATTGCAACATTGTCATCAAATTGTTTACTATAAAAAGTAACGATAAAATAACTGAAAAGTAACGTTTGCCAACCCTGCTAAAATTGTACCGAAGATGACTGGACAACAGTCGAAACTTTACTTGTATTTTAAACGATAAAAGATATTTTGCAATAAAACATCCTGCGGTTTGGCCTGTATGCTTCTTATTGTTTATTAAGATTCATTGATTTGATCGGAAATATATTTTGAGATGTTTATTCTCTTATATATTATATATGCACACGTAAACATCGATGTTGCTCGATGTGGTATCGCTTCTTCTCTTGGCTCAAGGGCCATATTCACAACTACTTAAAAATCTATATAGGTATACCTACATATTACTGTGCGAATAAAATTTGATTATAGCGTTTGCATCAATACTGTTATGTAAAAGAAAATATTGTTATGTAAATAAAATGTATAAAGAAATTTATGTAAAAGAAAATTATGTAAAAGATCTCAAGTAGCACACAGCGCGTATATAAAGCGTTGACAAAGCGCTAAAAAAGTGCATACAATCGCTTTTTTAGTGCTTTCCAAGCGTTGCTGTGCTACTTGGAATACTGTTATGTAAATAAAATACATAAAGAAATTTACGCGATTTAAGTAAAAAGTATTTCATGTAAAAAAAATTGATGACAGAGAGAGGACCGTTTTTTGCTTTACTTCCGCGGTATAACGCAAAAGCAAGTTACATCCCATTAATGCATTTCGTCGATATCCTGCAATCAAAGTGAATCGAAAGATGAAATGTATCATCAATCGTGTTAATACGTAATTAATTATCTATTCTGCTACAGATTTTTTGAGTGCTGTGAAATGGTGGGAGATAATTGTAAATTATAGTAGTTATATCTTCAATAGTTACTAACATTCGTTTGTCGTGTTTGTCTAATTTTATAGAGGATAACGATAATATTACCTATTGATATTCTAGTATCATTGTCCGTTGCAACTAGGGCAGTTCATTGCTAGAGGATTGATTTGGGATTAATTTTAAATCCCCGTAAGCCCGACTCTGAGTATCTGATGCAAAAATAGAAGTTAATCAAATCTTCCGTTGAAGACGCCACGAAAAAAAAAATTAGCTGCCACAGCTAAAAATTAAGTATGGCAGCTAAATTCAGTAGCACTACATGGACACTTAACGTCGTACATGCGAGGTCTAATTTCCATTAGCATTGCAACAGACAAGCATTTTGCTATTATGTCGCTGTATTGATCATTGCAGCAAACGTTTTCTGTGTAACAGACAATTTGGTAGCAAGTACAGTTTCAGCAAACCATATTTAATTGTGGTAGAGACAATTTTCTTTTACACGGACATATCCGATAACTGTGACAACTAACTTCATATTGCTAAATAAATCTATCTGTAATAGACATGCATATTTTGCTATCACGTCTTTATAGCTACGTTTACAGTACTTTGTTTAACCTACAGGATAAACAAGGACATCTATTGTATAGGCCGCGGCCTAAATACACGGTGTAAACGTAACCTATATTAGCTACAGCAGCAAATCCTTTGTATGTATTAGCAAATTCATAGCTACAGTAGCTAATGCAATTTCAGCTAATCAGAATTAGCTGTAAATCAGAAACATTTTTTTTCCGTGCGTCGAATCGAATCAAATGAGATATCGTACAATTGTATGTGTAATTACTTTTAAAGACCGAAAGAGAGAAAGAGATAGAGGGAGGAAGGGAGAGCAGACGTTTTCCTTGTGTTCTACACTGAAAGAAAAGATTGGCTGAATATGGCATAGAATTTTTAATTGTGGTTGCAGCAACCAATTTTTGATTGCGTTAGCCTATCGAAATCCTACATGCGCTCATCTTATATTAGGTGCACTGAAAAAAAAGATTGGCTGCTGCAGCAAATTAGATGGTAAAATATGGCATAGCATTTTTAATTGGTTGCAGCAGTCAATTTTTGGTTGTGTTAGTCTATCGAAATCCTATACTGACATTGCAGATAGGCTAAAGCAACCAAAA